AGATTCCATCCAATTTTGCAAGGTTGCTATATACCATTTCTCTTACTTTTTGCCAAAAATCTTTATTCTCTGTCTCTGTTTTCTTATGGATTGTCAACCGTCTCAGAAATTTGTGTCATATTGGCATAAGGATGGTTTTTATTGTGATTTAAAGGACTACCATGTTCGTCTGGGAAATACTATTGATCAATCAAATAAACATTTATTTGGCCACGTGTTCTCTTTCTATTTGTGTAACATAACTTCCCCCCCCATATGATGCACTAATGGTCTGCAATGAATCGTGCCCTTAGTGCACATCTGTATAAGCTGCAGGTAGTTTTTGCCTCCATCCCAGTCTTTTTAGGTCTTGACAGTCATTAACTTTATGGGACAGGTACACAATCTCCTCCTCATCTTCTTTTGTCTATTTCGTGCAGCCTTCTGTTTTCTTGCATAGTCTTCTTCCTTGTGCTGAGGTGGCCTTCTTTGGAACTCCTGGCTCTGAAGGCAAACTTTAGCTTGGTCCAGCGCAAAGTCCTAAGGGATAAAGTTGTTCAAAGTGAGCTTGCTTGATGGCAGTGGCCTTTATTGAGAGTGTTACCATGTTCCTGCCCAATGGCAACAAGTAGTTCTCAGGGATAAAGTAACGGGCATTTTTAATGTGGCCCACCTATTAAACTATGAGCATAGCTCTCATTAAACCTGCTGACAGATAAGTGAGTATAAAATTTCCTTTGAGATTTCACACTCATACTGAGTGTGAAATCTCACACTCCTTAAGCAGGTTGCTGTATATTACCTACAAAGCAGAGGGAACTGGTATATCTCCTGTTGGCAAAAAAAGCTGTAACTGTTCCAGACTAGCTGTTTCTAAATTAATATATATTTCTATTTTATGTTTAGCTCCTGAAGAAGGCCACTGCTGAAACACATCAAGTCTGAGAATAAAATCTGCATTGCCAACATTTTTATACATCTTGAGACTCGGTCTCCAACTTACAACCAGGTACTGTTACTTATTTGTTTATTTGCTTATTAAGCTTCTAGACTGCCCAACTTAGTAAATACTACTCAGGGTGGTTCACATAATTAGCACATACAAACTAAAATAATAAAAGAATGCATAGATAATAGCATAGACAAAACAAAAAACAAAAACAGGAAGGCCACCCCTGAAACCGTTGGTAACTGCTCACTCTGGGTCAATTGTTGCCAGTGGTTTTCTCTCAGAGTTTTCCTTCTTTTAGCTTTTGGGGACCCGCCTCCTACCCACAAGGCAGTGAAGGCAGCACTTAGTGGATGGCAGTGCTTCCTCGCCATACCACAGTTATGTCATTGAGCCTATCTGTTTTTTCGTGGGCTGCACTTCCATACCCTGCTAGCATTGCTGCTCAAATGTTCTGTCTATCATAGCTGTTTGCCTACATATCTATAGGCCAGGGGTCTCAAACTCAATTTACCTGGGGGCCGATGGAGGCAGGGTCTGGCTGAGGCTGGTCTGCATCAGATTTTCTGCCAAGCGGAGCAAGAGCCCAAGGAAGCCGCCCAGAACTTTCCTTAGCCCAGCTGGGGCTCCGAGAAGGAGGAGCACG